TATATATACAGTATACTGTATATATAAGGGGTGCAGCGATACAGAAAGTTCACGATTCGGTTCGGTTCAATACTTTAGTCTCACGGTTCAATATCTTTTCGATAAAAAAAGAGAAACGTCCATGCCCTTTTTAACTTTTAATTTATTTAAATGAATTTTGGCCATTTGTTTAACCTCAAAAGTACAGTTTTTTTAATTAAAAGTTGCTGAAAAAGCAAGTTTCTCAGTGGATCTGAGTTCGACAATGCAGCCTAGGTGGAGCAGTCGAACACAGATCCACTGATCCTTCAACACAGAGCATCTTCAGAAGACATGTTGATAAAATAAATTTTAAAAATCTGTATTGTTCGATACATAGTGTGTATTGAACCTAAAGCACTGTATTGAACGGTTCGATACGGGTACATGTATAGTTGCACCCCTAATGTACTGCATATACTGGGTCTCTGATAACATCAACAAAAAATTGTGKCCTCTTCTATTTAAGCAGCCCATCCCTAATATAATTTATTTGAGATTGCACAATTAAACAATAAAATGTCCTAAAATGCTGCTTGACCAAACATGCGTGAAGCGTGTTAAAGTTTTAAATAAAATAACATTTTACATCACTGCTAAGATTACTTCGAATTAGTGCTTTGAATTATTTCAGTCTAGGTCCTCAGTGTGAGTTTGCTTCTTTTATGGTGAAGCTGATATACAATAAGTATGGCTCATATTCTTTTTTAGTATTATTATTTTTCTTTTTGAAATGTTTATTATTTCCTCYCATACATACTGGATTTGTTTTCTACGGTTTACACGTCTGTTCTGGATTTTTCGAAAAACCGATTTTCAAGTTTGTGTACAAACGAATAAAAAGGCAAAGCAAGTCAGGTTGTTTTATAATTTGCTGAGTTAGGAGCTTGAAATCAGGACGGTGAGTGATTAACCCAGGGCAGGGTTGGACAGTTTGTTTTGTAAACCACTGTCAAATCTTCATCAATCATTTCTTTAAAAAAAAACTGCTACAACGATTGAAGCAGACAGCGAGACATCACTTAGACTGTCTAAAGAGATCTCTCACAGTTTTTCCTTCGTGGGTATAATTGGTAGTTGGGGTAAAATGGCTGCTCTGCAAAGAGCTTGATCGTGTGCTGTTTATAGCTCCTGAAAACAGTTTTGCAAACAGGAAGATCTGATTAAACGGGTGCAGTTGGAGCTGATGAAAACAACAAAAAAGGAGACTTTAATCCTGGCTGTGACCATGTGGAGGAGAGGAAAACAGACGGTTCCAAACAACATGTCATCAGGCAGCGTGGTGAGTTCATCCGGGGAGAGCTTGAAGGGAGGAGGAAGTTAGTTCTTTTTTTTTTCTTTATCCATGCTCTCATCTAACTTTTTTTTCTTCTGCGCAGTGCTCTTATTACAACAGATTCTCAGTATCTGACAATAATTGTATGCAAAACACACAGAACTCATGGCAGGTATATAAAGAAAAAAAATGAAAATAAGTATTTTTTTCTTGTAAATTTAACAAAATTACTATTAAATCTTTGCTTTTTTGATGGTGATTTTTTTAAAAAACAAAACAGGAAAATCAGAAGAGATTAGATCTGAAACAGAGACCCTGCCTCCTAAGAGCACGAGTGCTTTCACGTAAAGAAAAGTTCACAGAGATCTGGTTTGTTCTGGTTTCTGATCAGTTCTATCAAACGCCAGCATTCAAACACAGTGCAGGAATAATACAAATTATCTGCATGATCTAAAAAAACAAGTTTTCTTCTGAGTTAATTAGACAGCAAACTGTAAAATAACCGGAAGCTGATGCCTCATGTTGCAGTTTGTGCACCAGCGTGTCACAACTGTTTGAAACTTTGTAATAAAAACTACATGTGTGTGTTGCTTCAGACAAATTTGAAGGTAGATCATTTTAAAATATTTATTACATTTTTTAGAGTTCGTTTAGATAAACGTTAACAAAGTTTGTACAAAGGTTTTGCTCGTACACATTGCATAAAAAAACAGGGCAATGTTAAACATTTCAACATGTTCTCCATTTGTCCCACAAAACACAACTCTGTGCATGAAAAAAGACATAAGCACTGCGTTGCTGTAAACGAATCACAAACATGCGAAGACAGAGTGTGGTGCATAAAAAAAGACAAAAGGCCCGACACAGAAGCAATAATCATAGATAGAAATACCTCGTTTGCCAAGATCAAGCGCTTGTGTTCACCCRCAGATAATAAAGACGGTGGAAGTGATGGAGAAAATGGAAAACGTGGGTTAAAAAGGAGACCAAAATAAAACAAAAAAAAGCTTTTCCCAATCCCTCTCTTTTGCTTTGGAGACGAGGGACAGTCTGAGTAGAAAGCAACCCCACTTGAACAGAGACTGGGGCTTGAGAGCAGATTTTGGGCCGTGCCCTCCTCTCTTCCTGCCCACTTTTGCCCAGCTGCCAAGAGGCAGGAACAAAAACCATGAAGTCCTAACTTTTTGCCTGCACACACTCACTAMACTCCCAAAGATTCACACGAAGTATGAGCCACAATAGACCAGGATTTACTTTAAATCAGAGCCAAAACTGGCCGATAAAACATTTAAAGCCTACAAATAATATATAAAGAAGAAGAAATCTCGCTTGGCTGGAGGATTAGTGGAGAAAAAAGACAGCCAATCTTAAGTAAAGAAGTCAGAAATGAATACTCACATGTCGTACGGTAAGAACGCCAAAAGGAATGACAGATTTATTAACACTCGGCCAAAAGATTTAGTGACAGATTTTCCTGAAGCATTTCAGAGCAAATGAGTTAAAGGCTTCTTTCAGAGCCGTGCAGTAAAGCCTTTTGTCAGCGTTTGGCATCTTTCCCAGGTAGTACATGCCTCTCAGTTCCCATTTTCAGAAGTCACTCTGTGTGTAGTGGTTCTGCACCTGCCTGTGTTTTTGTTCCCATTTGTAGGAAAGAGACTGGTCGCCCGTGAAGTTCTTTAATTCGCTCGTAGCTGTGAATGAAAACTTGTGTTTTTGCTTGACACAACAGGGAAAAGAATCATTCGGGATGTTTACTGCAAGATATCTTCAAAATAACAACTTGTGTCTCAGAGCTCAAAGTGCAAAATGAGGTAGTTTGATCCGTGAAAAGAGACAAATCCAGTGTGGTGCTTTGTGTGCATCGTGAGCCGGAGATAAAATCTTCCAAATAATTTAACGTTTGAGTCGTGAAGCACGGCAAACATCAATATCTCTCATCAGGCAGTATCTAAGACAGCTCTCCACGTGACGTCACGAGTCTTTGTCCTTTTTTTCCCCCTTTTTTTTGACATGTGCTTTAAATCTCTTCACAATCAGTGGAAATTTGCTGCTATCGTTCTTAAGAACGTAGTCTTCAATTTTAGCAGACATGAATCATTTGACTGACTGCTCAGGCAGTTTTTAAAAAAGAGGTGAAATGAAGAGAAGATCTTTTTCTCTTTTCTTTTTGCAAATCTCCCCGTGTGTCTTTCGCTTCCTGTTCATGAACACCGAGCTTGTAAAAACCTTCAGCTGAAAGGATTTAGGACAGCCTCTATTGGCACAGTGTCAGAATTAAAGGGAAAAAAAAGAAAGAAAAAAAAAAGAAAAGTTTCTGAAGGAGGGTCTGGCTTATTGCAGTCTGTCACTGGAGGCGGTGACCACTCCCAGGACCTTTACTGTCTGCCTGCAGGGTCCTCTCTGCTTTCTTTTTATCTAGATCAGCAGAACGGCATCTTTGTCACATGCGAAACATAAAGGAAATGCAAGATGCATTACAGTTTTCTGGATCATGTCTTCAGTTGCAGATGTGGGTCAAGCTTGTGTTACAGTTCACACAGTCTTATGTCACATTTTCCCCCTTTTCTAATCTGAGTGCTTTGGGTACGGGTGAGTTAAAAATGACTATACCCTCTTTCAGACATAAATAACCACCATGGGGGCGCTCTACTTTTATGTAATGACCAATATTTGTCTTGGCTTTGCAACACTGCGCTGAACGGTCCCCATCTCGTCATAACTTTGACGAATGTGTTTCATTCCCATGGAGCTTGTTGCCACAGTTGTTGGTATAAGCGAGAACTGGATTAACAGCCGCGGTGGTAAACTTTGCCCCGCTGYGTCTCGTCCCGTCAGCGTTGTTTATCATCCTGCTCTGAGTCGTAAAACACAAGTTGCTTCTGTCTCTTTAAGATCACGACAGCTTCACTGCTGCTCTCCTGAGGTCACTGGCCTTCCTTAGGCCGCCTGCCAACTGCCATGCTACTGTCAAACATTTGCCAGGAAAGCTATTAGTCTGGGCTTTTTTTTATATTTTTTTATTTTCACAGTCAGCAAACTGGACTGTGTGATCAGAACAGCACTACAGACCACCAAAGAGTCTGGTCATAAAAACTACAAAACACATCAATTTTCCTCCTTTATTTCCCCTCCTGTGTCATCGTTCACTGCAGCAGGGATCACCGGCCTCCTGTGAGAGCTCAGACTGCAGAACACTGAACTTGGACAGCCTGAGATTGGACATTTTTAATAACACATCGTGTCGTATATCTTAGCTGTTGTTGAGTTTGTCGTTTGTGAAACTGCATGTCCATGTGCCCTCTGGTGCCTCACAGATTTACACGCCCCATGTTTGTGTGTGTGTCTTGGAGCACAGCATCACCTGGTGGTCATCAGAGGAAATCACACTGTTTTTAGCTTGTATTCGCTTTTTCATTGACGTGTGCTGTAGAAATAATTCCCCATGTGAGTGTAAACAAATAAATTATTGTTTTAATTTTTTTTCCTTTGTTTTGTTGCTGTAATCGGCTGCACACAGATGGTGAGCAGCTGATTACAGTAATCCCAGTGGGAGGGTCAGAGCATCCTGGCTGGGTGGAGTGGATGAGGGGGGCTGCGACTGGGGTGACTTGTTGCTTTATTGAAAATCCTCTTTAAGTCACATGACCCTCCTCTACCACCACTATCACCCTCTGACCAACAAAGTTCATAAGGTTTGTATATATGGAGACTCACCAGCCGCAATCATGCAGGTTGCTCAGATAAAACAATAAATATCAAAAGAACAAACAACATATAATTATTTTACATATTTTGGCAAAGAAATATGGATTCAGCCCATTATAATACTTCTCCAGGATTTCATTGTGAGAAAGACCTGAGCTGACGTCTGTCAGCATTATCATTTATCTACTTAGAATTAAGCAAATGTCATTTATGTGTAAGATTATKGTTCTCACGTCGTCCATTAATCCTTCATAATGATTAGTGGTTTTAAGTGCTTCGCCACACCCTCTTTCCACTGGTTCAGACCACAGTTTGTTAGTTTTATCAGTTGCTGTACTGTGTTTGACTTTATTACAACAGCTATTTTTACAATTTAATGGGTTTATTGCATGATTTTATTGTTTGTCGTTTTCAAATTTAAATAGGGGATATTTTGAATCATTAGTCCAGAGTAAAATTAATGTCACACACACACACGCACGCACGCACGCACGCATGCACGCATGCACACACACACTTGTTTTTATGTCCTTGTGGGTCCCGTCCATTGACTTTCATTCATTTTTTGGTAATTTTATATCCTAACCCTGACCACAAACCCTGAGGCTAACCTCACAGGTACCTTCCTGACCCTAAATCTAACCTAAACTCAGTTCACACCTTGGTCCTAAACCCAACCCTCACACCCAAAATCAACCTCTGAAGTTGTGGAGCCCAGGCTTTGGGCCCCACAAGGAGCACCCGGTCCCCACGAGGCTGCGTTTTCCTTAAAACAGGGCCCCACCATGTAGGAAAAACTAGGACACACACACACACACACACA